TTTAAAAGAAGTGTGTGGTGTATACTTTTGTAGTTATAATGAATAGTGAATCAGTTGCGAATTTGATCGCAAAAATGCCGCGAAATTGTAGTGCTTCGCGTAAACTCTGCAACACAGTAAAATTTCAAATGATGGAGAACCCTGAGATATCTTTTTGACTCACAATATGTTTAAATAAAGCGCGTCTGTTATTGATAGACAAACTAGTATTGTTGGATGATATCGCCATTATGAACAGTGAAAGGTGGTGTTTTAGTTGAAATTTAGATGGATGTTATAATGAGAATGCAAACATTTAAAAGTTTAATTATGTGAAAGAAAGAAAAATGTCATATCAAGCGATTTGCAAATTCTTTTTAAGGAATGGATGAAAATTCTCTTAATTATCAATGGCGTGTCGAAAATAAAGAGCGAAACACGCTCTCGGAAATGTTAGTGTTTAAGTAGGGTAAAAATGAATGAAAATCAATCTTCAAATCCATGGATACGTAGTCTTGTAGAACGTCAATTACTTGTATTTTGCCATTTTCGTATACTGAACGAGGAAGTTTTCTATTTTTTATTTTCTGAAAAATATTAGACCTAGATCAAGAATTAATTTAACAATTTGCTTTTCGATTACTGTTTAATTGAGAAATAAACAACAATGTTAAGGAGTTCTCTAGGAAATGAACTTGGTTCGTCACGTGATCAATCCTGTGAAACTTAGTAGATTTGATCAGGTACCAACCACGTTCATTTAACCTTTCAACATTGTTGTTTATTACTACATTATTCCTTCTTTTTTTTTACCAACTATCATTGATGTCCCTGGCATACTCTACTAGATAGACAGTGATTCCTTTTATTTCCATTACATGGTGAAATAAACTTGTAAATTTAGATTTTAAAAATGTCCACTAATAAATTTAAATTAACATGTCAATTTCAATAGTCCCCGTCCACTGACGTCAAAAACAAAGACATCCGCATGCGATTTACATGCATATTTGGCCTCCTTGGAGTCTACACTAAAACAATCGAAATGGAAATATAAGGATTTGAATACTATACCTAAAACAATTGGTCAAATTTTGATGTTCGATCAAAGCATGAACACTGTCCGTTAATAATTGGGAATTTTCGAAATCTGAAGGTAATAACTTTCGCCAAAAACGGGAGAAAATCTATGAATCAAACTTGAACTGCAATTTATCAATTTTATGAAAAAGATTAAATAAAAATATATTCAAGTTCAAGCTTGAAGATGAAACATTGAATAATAAGAACTGTTCAAATACATTCAGTGTGATCGATTAGTCAACAATATATATGGACTTAAGAAAAAAACCCAACCAGTTAATTATTTTCAACCACAGTAAAATATCTCATAATTTTGAAGCACAGCGTAACAGTTTACAATATAAACTAAGTCGAAATGAGGAGAAAAGAGTTGATACAATATGTCTAAATCATTTCATGACAAGCGCAATTATAATTAGAACGCGGTTAGCCGAAGGGGAAGATATATTTCAAAATAAATACCTAAAATTATACCTTTTGAGTTAATATTCATTAAATCTGAGAAGCATTTTTGTCCCGTCTGATTTCCATAAATGTAAAGGTAAAAAAAATGTAACAATAAGATAATTTGAAAAAAGCAAATCAAAAGACAAAAGGTCAAAATTAACGGTGCACAAGGAAAAATCTTGTCACAAGAAATACAAATGTGAAATTTGAAAGCCACAGCACTAATCATTCAAAAGTTATGGACAAGATTGAATAAGTCAAATTCCAAGGTAATGAATAAAAGGTCAGAACTGTTGTTACATCAGGCAATGTCCTGTCATAAGAAATAAACGTGTGAAATTCGAAAGTCCTCGCGCCAACTGATTGAAAGTTATGACCAAGGTAAACGTTTTTCAATTTAGGTCAAACTCTTAGATCAAGGTCAGAGTATCAAAATTGTTAGTACCAAATGGATTGTCCTCCACCCGTGAAATATGAAATCCCTTGTATTAATTGTTCAAAAATTATCGCCAAGGTTAATTTATTTTCAAGTGTGTCAAACAACAAGGTCAACATCAAATCAAAGATCAAAAGATTGAAATATTTATACTCAGAAAAGTTCTTCTACGAAGAATAGAGATATGAAGCATGAAAACACTGGCACCAACTGTTCAAATATTATGACCAATGTTATAATACGATAAAAGTTTGCAAAGGTGTGTCCAAGTCCAAAGTCAAAATAACAATTAGGTTTGTAGATAAAGATTTTTTTTACACAGAATACATGTAAAATATAAAGCCATAGCTACAAACAAACAAAAGTTATCGGCAAGTTTAAAGTGTTTGAGGACAAATGGACAAACGGACAGAGAGACAGGGCAAATCCATATGCAACCAAATCTTCTATATAAGATATCTCAATTATAGGAAATTATTAATTATCAGAAATCGATACTGTAGAAATCCTAAACGACAAATCTATTTTTGTTATTCTTCTAATGATGAAACTTACAGGTAAGGGGACATTACATTGTGCAATGTCAATAAGTGGTTTGGGAAGACTGTCTCCATGTGGTAAAAGATAAAAAGTTAAGAATACATGCATCAGCAAGCATTTTGTGTTCTGTTCCTGCATATCATCTCCTGGTCGAATTTTTATGTAATCTGCAATCTTGTTGTTTGATATGTTTTTTAGCAGCTCCTACAAAATAATAAAAAAGAAATTCTGAATTCATTAAGAAAATATTCTTATTTTAAAATTCTTTATATTAGACAATTGATAGAGACATCTATCTTTTTATCTATTTAGGACGTAAAAAGAAATAATTAAATATTCATTCAATTAGGCGATATGTTTTACTGTGGGTCAAGGATTTCACTATTCTTTTTTTCAAAATATAATAAAATGATAACTATGATGGACGTATGTCACAGTTTGTGGTCAAATTTCTTTGTTTTTACATAAGAATTCAAAACGTAGAGCTGTATATAAATTGCAATGCTAGACTTTTTTTTATGTGTTTTTTTTTATTAATTCATTGTTGTCCAAATCATTTTTGTTTATTATTTTGCTCATTGTATGTTTATACTACAGAAATATATGTGTTGTTTAAAACGTTCGCAAATAACAAATTTCACTGTTTTAACGCATAAACATGTACTACATGTATATATAACATTTTCCTTTAATGTATATCACAATTCATTTTGCAGGATTTTGAATGGAATTAAAGAAAATATTGGTGTTTTATCGCAAAGATGTTCAATGCTTAGAAACAAAATCAATAATTGTATCAAATTGCATGCTGGCGGAAAAATACACTAACAGTAAATTTTTAAAAAAAATGTCACTCATTTTGTCAACTTTTCTGTTAAAAAATTTACATCACCGTTTATTAATCCAAGTTTATCGATCTTACAGATATTGTCTTATCCTTCTTTTTCAAATGCACAGTCTTGTCTATTCTAGCTTCCAAACTTCCAAGTACCTATAAAAATGAAAAATGCAGGTAATTTCCTGGGGTTTCATCTATGTTTTTATCATCACCGAAAACCTCTAAAGTCCTTCACATGTAGCAATATTTCTTTTATATTTACCATCCTTGAACAAATATTTAAGAGAACTAATCCAGAATTGTTCATTCTTTTTTTTTTTTTTGGAAAGAAATCATGCAGGATAAATAAAAACGAAGTTACTGATTTTATTAATTATTCAATAATGAAATCCCTCACTGTGTAAATAATTGACTATTATATCTTTTCATATAAAAAAATCTTTAACAGTTATTCAAGTAATATAAGTACAGTACAGCAATTAATATTAATACAATTGATCTTTTCCTGCAGTTCTATAATTATACTAATAGTTCTACCAAGTGAAAATAAACATGATTTTTGATTAATTATTTCATAAAAGTTTAATTAATACATCAGTATCGTTTTTATTGTTGTGCTACCAAAGTTTAATTAATACATCAGTATCGTTTTTATTGTTGTGCTACCAATTGTTGTATATGCCCATACAAATATGACATCGAAGTATCTCAGCATTTAAAGATTAAACTATTAAATTTATTTATGGATCTCTGAACATATTTATCACGTTAGCCTTTGGTTCCGGTCATAAAATCAGCAAAGCAAACTCCAACGCAGCTATTCAGAAGTATGCCTTACCTGTTCAGATAGACTTCCAATCGAATCTGAATGCAGATGTGAAAATGTTACTAGTCTGTATAAAGAAAGTCCAAAACAAATAAAATCAGTCGCATTATGTACCTGAAAAAAAGAAAAAAGAATATCAAAATTGTGATTAATAATCTTACAAGCTGAAAGTAAAAGTATATATATGATAGATTAATTATAGACTAAATTTTGTGTTTTAATATCAGTTAATTGGGAGAAAACAGTTTAATTTGCCATAAAAGCATAAACATTGTTCTAAATTGCATTTTTTCAAATCGGATTTTTTCTATTAGGCCTAGGATTAATTGATTAGTTGTCAAACAAAATGACTCTAAAATATGAACATGAAATACTTCAGCTGCAATCTTGTTGTCAGATAAGTCGGGCTAATACATAGTCGAACTGTCATAAAAGAGAGCCATAATAAGGTCAAACACAAGTTTTATTATGATAAAATTAAGATCACAAAATATTTTCTATAAGCGCTTTTTCTACATGCATGATTGGGTTCTTCATTTTGGTTTTGAAATTATGTATATTTTGTTTTCTGTTCAATCTTGTCAATTTCTTTCAGAGCTTTGAAAAGATGCCGTTTCTTCCTTTGAATTTTGTTTAAAACATATTTCTTCTTGTTTCCTACGCTCTTAAGGATTTTTTTCCATCGAAATATTTCTGATATATCTTTAATTCAGCTTAAGCACTAAACAAACAATCAACCAATCTTGAGGAATTTCAGAATTTCAACATTGTTCGTTTTACTTCAAACCATGAATGGTACAAACAAAGAATGGTATAAAGATTCCTACAAGATAAATAACGACGGACAGGAAGAAAAGGAAAATGGAAACTGAGAAAATGTTTCTCTGTGTGCTGTTAAATGTTTTATGATATCGTGAATAAATCGTAGATGTGACTTACATCTAGTAACTTGCTGACATTCTCCAAGGTTTTCTTTTCACTCTGATCAGGCATAAGGTCTGCTTGCAGGGCTTCCTTTATATCTTTGTACTTTGTCACAGTCACAATATAACAATCAGGGGTGTTTCTTTCCTACGAGTATGATACTTTATATCAGAATTCAAAATCCGAACCAATGCGTGAAAAGCTCTTACGACTTTAATGATAATTTCAAAACTACTTGTTCATAATGCTCTCCAGCTCAAACCATATGATTTTTTTTTCTCAAATATCATACAGATTTAGTACTTTTTTAATATAAAATATCTTCTGATTAACATTGGAATGTTGCAAAAATACATTTTTTTCTTAGTAGTATTTGTTAGGCATGTAAAAAGAAACTACACATCATATATTTACCCTTTTTATACCAACATCTAGCCAGGAAAGGGGAAGCTGGGATGCCTTTAATTTACTTTTTGTTACAATGTCATGAAACGCCGACTCACCATGTGTTTTACATAGCTCCTGAACAAAAAAGTATCTACAAAAGAGCAAAGAATATGAATACTGCTTTGTTTCAAAAAGAATTTGGAGAAATAAAGAAAGATAATACAGATATCGCTTATCCCTCAATGGGTATGGTGGTTCTTATTTCTACAATCAAATTTCTAACTCAGAATCTCACTAGAAAACTCAAAATATTTCCATATGATTAAAAAATTCTCAAGAGGCACGTTAAACAACATACGATCAAAATTCTAAAATATCTTTTAAAATATATTTTAAAGAGGTTAAATACCCCGGTAACAGAATTTTTTTAAAAATAAAATAATTATATATGATAATTTAACATGGCATCAACGGGATAAAGTTGAATACTACTAATTCATTCGAAAGAACCAGATGATAATTAAAAAAAAAAAAAAAGAAAAATTAAACAAAACACACACACACACACACACCCTCACACACTAACAAATGCTTTCCCTTTCTCTAAAAAAATATTCCTAAACATATTTCCACAGTTGTACAAATTCTCTAGGTCTCATCCATTGGGCAAAAATTGAATAAAGGTTATTAGATATAAATATATTTAACTCGGAATCAAAGGATTTATTACAAGTACCTTATGTTTTGATCCCTATCCTCTTTGTTACAGACATCTTTAATTGCTCTCAATAGTGAATCAATTTCTCTAGCAGAAACTACTTCTTCAACCATGCATCTGAATACATATTTGCTAGCTATTTGTATCGCCCAGCGAACTTCTGCGACACGAGAAAGCGATTTGAATGACAACTGTTCATTAAATAAACCAGTAGCAGACTGTACAAATTTCTCCGCTTCCGAAATTTCATCTTTAGTTGTTTTCAAGTCTTTCAGAAAATGGTATACAGTTGTTTCCTATAGATAAATGTTATTTCAAAATGTAGAGTCAAGAAAAATATTTCAATAAATGAAGAAATCTTTTCGTCGAGTATATCTTATTTCATCTTTCTCAGATTAAGGTGTAAAATTTACATAATAGAGTGTAGAAATTAGAGAAGAAAAAATGTCAAAAATGACAAAAAAACCGCTTCTGTATCGTAGTGATATATGCAAATAATTCCAAAAAATGACAATTTCACTTCATCACATATAGAGACAAAATAATAATTACACGATATAGGTATTTAATATGAAAAAAGTAACAATTTCGCAGCTATTGAAAGGCAATTTTATTTAAATGAAAATGGTAACCTCTATGCAATGTATGAACATTTGACACGTTTTGACGAGAGTTTCATTGGTTCTGCATGCTCCTCTGGTGTCCCTCATAAACTTTTCTATGTGTTCATTTACGGAATTGTCTCTGTTTATAAATAAAAATATATGTATCAATGTCAGTGAAGAAAAATTCAACGATCAACATTAGCTAAGAAAATGGAAAATACTTTTATTGTAAATTCATAGTATTCGGCATCTTTGCACAGCTGACAAGATTACAAACTTACCGTCTGATTAAAAAAGAGTGCACGTTTCAAAAGCAAATTGAAATTCATAATATTCAATACAACAGAACAAATCAATAAATCTCCACCTTGTCCGTAGTAAAAGCTGGAGAAGAAATGATCTTGTAACTGGAGTGGTGCATGTATCATAAGGTCTTTTCACTGCGCTTCTTAGTCTCAGTCTATTTCTGCTGACAACTGCGTCACCTTTTACGCTTGTCTTGTTCTCCTCCGAAATAACAAACTCAAGCAATGTATGAATTGCGTCCTCATTAGGTAAATTGTCGTTTTCAAACGTCATATTAGACAAGATTCCCATGAAAAATTGGTCACAAACGGTATATAAAGATTGCCTGAAAGTAGCGAATAATTTACAAACAAGAGGCCCATGGGGCTTAAAGGTCACCTGAGCATAATGCAACAACTTTCATGGGACCTTGAAATTCACCAATCTGGAAGAAGGGCCCTTGCTCATCATAGATATATAGATTGTTCATCTGCTAATACCCATGAGCAAAGAAGAACATTTGCTAAGATTTAATGTATTCTCACTATATAATCAATAGAGCCCCGCCCTAACACCCTTGACCCTGGGGCCATATAATTCATAATTTTGGAAGAGGCATTCTTGCTCATCAAAAATATGTACTTAGTTAGTTTATTTAATACTCAGGAGCATAGAAGAAGATTTTCAAAGAATTAATTTATTTTAAGTATATTCTAGTAATCAAAAGATCCCCGCCCTAACACCAGAAAAACCCCTTACCCTAGTGCCATAAAATTCACAATTTTGGAAGAGGCATTCTTGCTCATCATAACTATGTACTTAGTTAGTCTATTTAATACCCAGAAGCAAATAAGATTTTCAAAGAAATAATGTATTTTCACTATATAATCAATAGAGCCCCATCCCCCTAACACTGGAACCCCTGACCCTCGGGCCATAAAATTAACAAATTTGGAAGAGGCATTCTTGCTCATCATAACTATGTACTTACTTAATTTATTTAATTCTCAGCAGCACCGAAGAAGATTTCAAAGAATTAATGCATTTTCACTATATAATTAATAGAGCCCTACCCCCTAACACCAGAACCCCTGACACTGGGGCCATAAAATTCACAATTTTGGAAGAGGCACTCTTGCTCATCATAAATATGTAATTAGTTAGTTTCTTTAATACCCAGGAGCAGAGAAGAAGATTTTTAAAGAAGATATGCATTTTCACTATATAAACTAAATAACCCCACCCTAGCACTAGAACCCCTAACCCTGGGGCCATGAATTTTAAAATTTTGGTAGAGGACTCATTGCTTATTACATTCATGCCAACAATTTGGACGTTCGATGTCCAGGAATAAAGAAAAATATTTTTAGATATTGCAATAAATTTAGTGGTTTTGGCCCCACCCCTCAGGTCTTAGGGGGACAGAGAACATAAAATTAAAGAAATTTTGCTCCCCTTTACCCATAGATGCTTTATACCAAATTTGATTGAAATTGGTTCTGTGGTTTCAGACGGCTAAAAATGTTCAAGTGTTAACACACGACGCACGACGGACGAAAAAGGATAGCAATCAGTCACCTGAGTGACTCAGTTTAACTAATAAAATGAATCTATAATTAAGACAAATAAGAATTTAAAGATTTATGTATACTGATGTTTAAATTAACAAAGCATCTCACAAGAATTACAGATGTGAAATATAAAATCCTAGTACCACCTGTTCAAAAGTTATATCCAAGGTTAAAGTTTTTTTTAAAGGTAGGTCAAACTCTAGGGTCATGGTCACAGGGTAAAGGTTGTTGTTTTCTATAGAAAGACCTTGTCATAAAGATAACATATGGTAAGTATGAAAACCCTAGCCATACCGTTCAAAAATTATTGCCAAGGTTAAAGTTTTCAAAAAATAATCCAAATTCAAGTTCTAAGGGTAAAAGTTGTTGACATCCATTGAACGATCACAAGAATTACATATGTGAAGTATGAAAGCCTTAGCTCTTACCGTTCAAAAGTTATGGGCAATGTTTAACTTTTTGCGGAGAAACAAACAGCTAGACAGACAGGGCAAAAACTATATACCCAAGAAACTTCGTTTAAGGAGGCATAAAAACATCGTTTTTTTAATAAACATAATAAAATCTGCGATTTTAACTTAAACTTTTGGCTGTATGTCTTGCAATCATTACATTCTTTGACATTTCAGTAGCTAATATTGAAGGATTACTTGTATATATTGCCAATTCGATATACCTTTCAAAATTTGCTATATGGATGAAACAATTTAACAAATGGTCAATGGACCACATCGCTCACCTGAGCAACATTGGTGATGGCGTTCTTTACCAGATTTCCCCCCTTGTGATACCTAGTGTGGCCTCGTTTTACCCCTGACCCCCCAGGTCACAATTTAAATAATTAGAATCTACACTACCCCAAGATGCTTCCACATACAATTCAGCTTTTCTGGTCCAGTGGTTCTTGAGAAGATTTTTAAAGTATTTTCCTATATATTTCTATGTAAAAATTGGATTCCCTATTGTGGCCCCGCACAACCCCCAGGGATCATGATTTGAACAATTTAGAATCTACATTACCCCAGCATGCGTCCATATAAGTTTCAGCTTTTCTAGCCCAGTGGTTCTTGAGAAGAAGATTTTTAAATTTTTTCCTATATATTTCTATTAAAACTTGGATTCCCTATTGTGGCCCCGCCCAACCCCCATGAAGGGTCATGATGTTAGCAATTTAGAATCTACACTATACCAGGATGCTTTCACATAAGTTTCAGCTTTTCTGGCCCATTGGTTCTTGAAAAGAGGATTTTCAAAGATTTTTCCTGTATATTTCTATGTAAAACTTTGATTCCCTATTGCGGCCCCGCCCAATCTCCGGAGGTCATGATTTTAACAATTTAGAATCTACACTACCCCAGGATGCTTCCACATAAGTTTCAGCTTTTCTGGCCCAGTGGTTCTTGAGAAGAAGATTTTTTATGACCCAACCCCATTTTTATATTTTCTTTATCACCCCCCTTGTGAGGGGTCTTGGCCCTTCATTTGAATATTTAAACTCCCCTTTACCTAAGGATGCTTTGTACCAAGTTTGGTTAAAATTGACCCAGTGGTTCTTTAGAAGAAGTAAAAAATGTGAAAAGTTAACAGACGGACGGACGGACAGACAGGCAGCTAGACAGACAGACAGACAGACAGACAGCTAGACGGACGACGGACAAAATATGATCAGAAAAGCTCACTTGAGCCTTCGGTTCAGGTGAGATAATAATACAGCAAAGTAAATATATACAAAGGTACTCAGATCGTTGTTACTACCGGATACATACGTACGTACTCAAGTATTAAATCTAATTTGTAAAGCTTCTGCATATGAAAAATATAAATGGAGTGCACCAATGCTTTACTGTGTAAATTTCTTCGTGTTAACAGTTTAATTATTTTCATTAAATACTTATATACAGCTCAACACATTTTTTAAACTCACATGGTTTTTCCCACAAATTAAGGTCACATTGTTATAATGCAAACTTGTGTAACGTGACAAAATATTTCAAAAATGAGTTATAACTTAATTTTGATCATATTCCATAACTTTAAACATAATTCACACATAATATATAATTGGTATAGGATTTCTATATGCTCTTGGATGATATATTATGAGAGTTTCCAAGTGGTTTTTTTCATGATTTCTCGTCAAATGCAACCGTCTTTTTATCCGTTCAGTTTAAAGCATACATTTGCCTTGGCTTAATACAGAAACAGTGCAGTTCATGTAACTTCTGTATTTTTTGTACATTAATATGATATTAAGGCGTAAGATGATAGAATTTCTCATCAATTCGATTGTTTTCCATGTTAAAAAAGATGGCATTTTTTCAGGTTAACTTCCTGAAATCTAGCATAATGAAAAATACCATCCAATGCAAAATTTCAAAGTTTCAGACCATAAAAGTAAAAGAATTTTCTTTTCAATATTTACAATTTACTATGTTGAAAGATAAAAAGTACTTTATTATCCTATCCTTTCACATGATTTCTTTTTGCAGTTTTGTTATTTATCGGCGCTGCATTTCGACGAAACCAAGACAAGTATGGAAAATATGCAAAGTACGTTGAAAAATACACATCTGTAAGAAGTCAATTTGAAATTTCACCCGAATAGTATCAAATAAAGTTCGATTAATTAATTTGTAAATACCTATAATAGAATCATACACATTTAACATCATACAAATTATCAAAAATTCTCTTTTGGAACATTAACTTTTAAAACTTGAAATAATGATTTTAGAGAATATGCACCTTTAACATGAATATAAGGGTTATATCTCTTACCGATACTCGATAATTTTAAGTTTTATTGCAAGAAAATGGCTTTAATTTGTGCAAAAAACCATGTAAGTTTAAAAAGCGCGTTGAGCTGTATTTATTTTAGCATAGATATTTATACAAGTGACTGTATATCTAATATATTATATCCAATGAAAAATATTCAAGAATCACAAGACTCGAACAGTCATTTTAACTGTAAGCGCTTTCTGACTTTTAATGGCTCTTCAGACAGTTACAAATTGAATATAAAATTAAATATATGCATATTTTTAAAAACCTTTGAACATGCTGGAATGTCCTTGCAATTTGTCGTAAGCAATCCTTTAAGGTCTTGATCGATCTACTGGTTTTCATGTCAACATCATTCAGCCTTTTCCAAATCTAGTGTGGTAATGATTCATTCTTAAAAATTTATCTGGTTACTATAAAGTTGCATTCAGGGGCAAATCTACTACATACAGAATCATACGGAAGTTCGTTGAGCAAATTAATTTTTTCTTTTCTTAAATATTTTATAGAATTGTCAAGAATCTCAATTTATCGTTATTTACCATAGTCACCACAAAAATATCAATATTGACCGAAGCGAAGGTCAATTAATATTTTTCTGGTGAATAACAAACCATATTCACCATCGAAAGAGTCCAGAATTGTTTATTACACTGTATATAGCCAGGATTTGAAACATTGAAGGCTTCCGGACGATTTCATTTTCACGAACTTACTTCTCATGTTGACGGGTAAAAAATGTCCAGATCACAACCCATACCTTCCGTATTTTCATATTTCTGTATGTATACCGGTAACACAGATATTTTAGGAAATTAATCCTTCTGTAGACTAATACTTGCAAAACATTTTTACCTGCTCA